GGGGTTAGGTGCACTTTAACCAATTTCTCATTCCCAATGGAAAAAAAATGAGCTTTTAAACAGCCTTAATTGACACCCCGCCTGGCAAAAATAAATTATGGGCACACAAACCAATGCAGAGAAAGGATAATACGCTTTCTCTAGGAAAGTTCTGGCCTCAGCGTTTTGTTGGGTCTGGGACTGAAAAATGTGAAAAAAATTTCTCTGGAAACTTAGAACATCAAAGGAAATCTTTTGATGTCTTTGGGTATGTTTGAGTTTTCATAAAAAAATACTGGTACTCACAGTGTAATTATTATCTGATGCCTGTGACTTGTATTAAAATCAAGCTTGTATAACATGATACTGCTGTAAAATTCTTTTTTATCACTAACTGTTTCTTGTAAATGTTCAGTTGGATCCAGGAGTTTGGTGAAGAAGGTCTTCAGTGTTTAATTAAACACCTACGAGAATCCTGCTCCAGGGGAGGGGACATTTATAAACGAATTCAACACGAATGTGTGAGATGTTTGAAGGCCTTCATGAACAACAAGGTTTGTTTTAAAGGAATATTTAATTTATTATTGTTCAGTGTTAAACTTTCTTGCAAATGATATTTTTGCTTAAGGCTGACATAAAACTGATTGAACAAAAGTAGTCACATACATGTACCTGATTGCCGTGGCAACTTAAGTGTGTCCTCTCTGTAGTGCTAGTTCAAACGCTGCTTACAGTTGTGCCAAACTTAGTTTTTACAATGACTGTCTAATTTCTTGCATGCTGATTGGCCCAGGCGGATAAAATTTTAATTTATGCAAGCTTTCAAGTTCAACTTTCAACTGTCAAACTGTGAACTTTTTAACCAATGAGATTTTATGGACTTTTTTTAAATAGCCAATCAAGAAGCGAGAAAAGCTATTGACAATGGTCGCGTCATTTTGACCAAAATTCACTTATCTTTGTTTACAGCAAGTTTATGGTGTCTCTTCCCCTCATTTATTCTTGGCATTTGACCATTGTGGGGTCTTGTTATTGTAAAAAACAAATTGACGTCAGTTTTTTTATGCGTCTGCCCTCTTATTGATGATGAATTTTGTCATAGCATTGTCAAAGTTTACTGCAGAACCACTCACCTGTGACTTGTGGTTCCCCAGCCACTTTGAAAACGTTCTGACCCAATTTATCATCAATAAGAGGACAGATTCATAAAAAACTGATTTCGATTTGTTAAACTTTTGCATTCAGACCTGATTCTGCCAATCCACTAGATGGCTTAGGTTTTTAGTGGGACCAAAAGTCAAAAATCATTTAATTTAGCAAAATTGATACTAACATAAAGAGTTCTGTAATTATACACGTATTATATTTTCTGCAAACCATGTGTATACATGTGCTAGATAATTATGCCATTGGTAAAATAGTTGATGTTGTCATTATTTCAATCCTTAGTATGGTCTCAATATGATGTTAAAAGGCGAGGATGGATTGACTTTGTTGGCAAGGTCAATGGATCCTAATTATGCAAGTATGATGGCAGATGTCGTCAAGCTCATGGCAGCAGTGTGCCTTGTGAAGTAAGTTGACCTTATTTTTCAAGATTGATAAAAAAATCTCATTTTTCCCTACAATTGCAATACATTCTCAAGGAGACAGGTGATGAGAATGAAGAAGATCATTGATCTAAGCCTGACAATGTCTTGTTGTACAACTCTCGATGTCTACCATGTCCGCTGGTACACAAAGGACCTCCACAGCTGTCTGTCCCAAGCCAGCTTTTAGATGGAGCCCCAGCTGTGGTTCAAGCCTCTCATCTCTGTCTCTATAGTGCATCACCATGTATTTTTGGGGCTGCCCTGCTTGTGACTCCCTTCTGGTGTTCAGTGGAGTGACGTCTTAGAGTCTCTCTCCCTCCTGTTGTCATGACCTTTCCATTGCCATCATCTATACATGATGGTGATACTCATGCACCTGTTTGCACTGTATATTTATAAGCAGATACTTGTTGGAAATGGTGTGAAGCCAGAAAATACAAAGGATTTTTTTGCAGATTTTTGGTGTGGAAGGCCAACAGCTTTTTCAGATCACTTCTGATGCAGGGTTGTGAAAACATTTGAAGTACATGTAGGCGGGTTTTCTGTTGAAATAGCTTGCTGAAATTATGAACTATATGGTGATTTTCACTGGCAGCCAGCTTCTTATAACAGTCCCAAGATGTGAAATGTACTTACTTGTTCTGTAGGTTTTCTGTGAGTGGAGGTTAAATGTTGTACCTAAGAGTCAGAATGAGTAATTTGTATTTAAGCTCTATTATTGATGGCTCTCTCCTCTCTTTAGTCATGATAAGGCTCTTGAAGCAATCACTGTTTGTGGAGAGCTTGAAGAAAGAGGAAGATTCAGTAAGATAGTTGTAGCATTGGATGATGATCACACCAATCTCAAGGTGAAGCTTCAGGCTCTTTAACAATGGTCATATTATTAGTAAATTATTGTACTAAAATGCCTGAGAAGAATTAAGAAGAGTTAAGAAGAATCAAGAAGGTCCCCGTGGGTAAACAACTTTGCCTTATTTAGTTATTAACAAAAGGCTTCCCGTTGTTATAGCATGTAACCTACCAGTCTTGGGAATGATTTGACCTGTTTAATAGAAGGTGAGTGAATGCTGCAGCTCTGTTATTGACCTTCTATAAACATGTGAAAGACTGTAGGTCACTTGCTATATCAACTGCAAGCCTTTTCTACAGTGAATTCACTTTCTAGAAAAAAAAAACAGAGCTGTTGTTAAGGGATTTCTCTGACTTTCAGCAGTCTTTAATGGGTCATTTTCGTCTAAAAGTCTGACGGCAGCTTATGCGGTGGGCCAGTTTTTGTTTCAGTACAATCATGTAGATTGACTGTTTGTGAAATTTTTACCAATCCCCTGGATTAGCAGTAAATAGATAAAATATTGCATGTGTTTGGTTTTATTTCAGGATACTAGACTCTAGATACTAGACTATTGTTCACAGGGTAGATTGCAAATTTGATCTTTGTTTATTGTTTCGGCAGGTGGCCTGTGTTCAACTCATCAATGCACTTGTCAGTACACCAGATGACTTAGATTTTAGATTACATCTGAGAAATGAATTTGTCAGAGAAGGCTTGAATGATCCTTTGCAGGTACATGTGTACATACATGTTCAGTAAATATTTACTTGTAAACATTTTTCAAAATTGAAATATTTGTCTGGGTGTATTAGTTGTAGGTCTCTCATCAAAGATAGGTGTTCATTTATCTCACATGGATGTACATCAAATCTCATTGATTGAAGAAAAAAAAAAATAATACAGTGGAATCCCGATTTCTCAAACCCCCAGTTTTTTTAACCTCCTGATAGCTCGAACCAAAAGTTGTTTCCCTCTTTAGTCAAACAGTGTAAATTTACCCTCGATTTCTGGACTATCTGATTTTTTGAACCAATTTTCATTACCTCGGAGGTTCAAAAAAATCAGGATTCCACTGTAAAACTAACACTACCTGGAACAATATCAAATGATAAACTCATATGAATTCATTACTCCCTAGTCTGTTTGTCTGTCTGTCTGTTTAGCTATAAAAAGTACCAACAATTTAATCAAACAATAAAGGAATAACAAGAGTAAAAACTAATTAGTGGTTTATTTGTATCTTTTAGGATCTCAGAGATTTGGAAAATGATGATCTAAATGTCCAGTTAGACATCTTTGAAGAACATCGAGATGACGATACCACTGAGTTCCAGCAGAGATTTACTGATATAAAAATTAATTTTGAGTATCCTTGACAATGCGATATTTAAGAAACTTCATAATGCATTTGCTTGGTAGAATTGCATGTATTTACAATGATAACTTTTTCACTAAGAATTACCTGGAACACTTTTTTACCCTCATTTTTACCCAAAATATGTAATCGGAGTGTCTATTTTGGGTCTGGTAGGAACAACCGGTTTTTTTCTGTTATAATCTTCAATTCAGTAGGATTTGAAACTCATGACTATTGAAATATCAGTATCTGCCATCCGTCTATGAGACCAAAAGTTTGCTTTTTGGTCCAGAAAATAATGAAAAGCAGCAACAGGAGTCCTTAAACTATGTTATTTCTTCCTTGACGACCTATCAGGGACCGAAATGAGATCTACCAGATTATAACAAACCTGATTCAGGACACCCCATCAGAACCCATGTTCCTCTCCATTCTACAGCATCTGTTACTCATCAGGGACGATGTTCATGCCAGGTAGCGTGAAAACTTAGTAGTGATTGTAGCATTACATTATTTTGTATGGAAATGGAAAGCTAGTACTTAGCCTGTCAATGTAGCTGTCTGCATCATTCCTGGCTGGTTTGGTGTTTTTGTGAGAGAGACATGCAGTAAGAGGTAGCTGTATTCACAGGCTAGGTGGTACTCAAGTTAAAGGAAGGTGGTGAGGATTTTTTTTTTAGGGTGGAGGAAAGACTGATAAACTAATAATTGAAAATATTGGTGATTAGGACTTTTTTGTGAAAGGTTGGGGGGTATGTTTATTTTAGTGGTTTCAAACTTTCATTGGTGTCATTCACTCCTCAGTGTCAGTTTGGTTTTGAGAATCTGCCTGCAAATTACTGCACGCGACAATGCTTAGGGCCTAGGAAAAGACCAAGCCCCAGTTTTGTGAAGGCTGGATAATGATATCAATTGGATAAATTACTATCCAGTGGACAAGTTGACTAAGCAAACCACGCTATCAGCTGGATAGTGATTTATCCGGCAGAAAGCATTATCCACCTTTTGAACAACCCGGCCCATGGATTTGGTGTCACATTTGGAAGGCTGCAAGTTACCCCTGCCAATATCCATAAAATCCTAGATTATCCAGAAGAGTCAGCATACCTACTGTAATTACCTTTCAAGTCAAGACCAGATTTCTTCTTGTTTAGGTTCTGTTTTGCCCTTGTTACTTTTTTCCACAGACCTCAGTATTACAAGTTAATTGAAGAGTGCATATCACAGATTGTCCTTCACCGAGGTGGAATAGATCCTGACTTTGCTTCAAAAAGAATGGAAATCGATGTAGAACCCCTCATTGGTGAGTTAAGTGTTATTAACAGACTTACTGTTTATGTAGGCTTTGGACTTTCATCATATCAGTGATCCTATGGTAGTTTTGCACTGAACAAGATACTTTTCTGCTGTTAAATTAAAGGGCAGGTGATATGTTGATATGTTCTGACCTGTTAAATGTACTTTGTAAAGTCTGTTGTTTAAAATTTCACTGGGTTTCACTTCTTTTTGTAGAAACACTGGTTGAGAAAGCACAGTATGAGGAAGCGGCGGAAAAATCCATGCAGCTTGAAACCAAGGTATGTAGAGGCTACTGTCACTGTTTTACCCTTATGATAATAATTTATAATAATACCAACAGGGATCATCATCTGTTTGGCGACAGTAACACATGGCACATGCATACTGTGAAGTGGACAGGTAAAAAGAATAACCCTAGAGGATATTGCGTTGATTTACATAATGTACTGTTCGTAACAACAAATTTTCAGAACTGAATGCTAAAAGAAATATTAAAGGCCAAGCTGGATTTTGTGGAGATGAATGTTCAATACCTTTGTTCAAGTCACTTTTTAAGAACTGTCCCTTACCTTCCTATTGTAAATTCCTTGTTTTCTTTATTTTTTAGTTGGAACTTGAAACAACAATGCGACAGGAATGTGAAGCTAAACTCACCTTGACTTCAACAAATTATGAAACCAAGATAGCAAGCCTGGAAAAAGAGCTGGCAGAAGCACAAGAACAGGTAAGGGATATTCAGTATGTGTGACCTAGAAATGACACATTGTATTAATCCCAACGCTCAGCAGATTGTAGAGTTCAATGTTTCCATAACTCTCTGGCCCAAGTTTGGTGCAGTGAAACTGGAGGAAGCAAATGCTTGGAGATGAAACATTCAGTGGCTGTTAAGAAGGTTGAAAGCCTGAGAAGCCTCTTACAATTCACTTGTTTCGTATAATTAGTTTTCCAATTTTATCAAGTGGCTTTTTTGAAGATTTATCAATTGATTCTTTTGGTTATGTCCCTTAAGAAGTGCTTAACGTTTTTCTGCAGAGTGACATGATGCATAAATGTATGACAGTCCTGATACACTGATATACTCCCTATGAGCAGGATTATCAAAATAATGTTCCATGCCTACAGTTCACAGCGACACTTGAAACATGAACACTTGACATGAAGGCTTTTCATGTACATGTAAACAAGAGTATTTAGCATATTTTCATTGTAAGAATGCTACTCTTGTACATTATATGAAGAGCCTTCATTATACAGTCACCTAAACAATGTAAAAAAAAGTATCAAGTGTTTGTAGTTTAAGTGCCCTTACTCTAAGTTCTACCATTTTTTGCCACATCTCGTTTTCAACAAAGGATGTAACTATACTTGTACATGCAAGAAATGAATCTGCAAGCTGTAAGGGTTTCTTTCTTGGCTTTGGATGCTCTCTTTCAGTGCAACACAGTCTCTTCCCCTGTCAAAGTTTTAAGACTGTCCAGGCTTTTATAACTGAATACAAATGGTTTGGTTTTCTTTTAGGCCAAAAGAGGAGGTGGCGGAGGAGGAGGTAAGGATGTTCTTTATGCCATTTGCTTGTGCTTTAGAACTGGACAAATCACAAAAAGTGTTCTTTTTACTAAAAGTGAATCTTCCTCAGCTTTACAGTCCTTTCATCCTGTAATGAAACCATCATTAAGACATGAGTGTTTTGCTAGACAATCCACCTCTCATAAAAATATGTCACTAGTGAGGATATTGATGATGTTATTTCGTATTTTGTGTGGTTGCTACTTTTGGGGTTAGGTGCACTTTAACCAATTTCTCATTCCCAATGGAAAAAAAATGAGCTTTTAAACAGCCTTAATTGACACCCCGCCTGGCAAAAATAAATTATGGGCACACAAACCAATGCAGAGAAAGGATAATACGCTTTCTCTAGGAAAGTTCTGGCCTCAGCGTTTTGTTGGGTCTGGGACTGAAAAATGTGAAAAAAATTTCTCTGGAAACTTAGAACATCAAAGGAAATCTTTTGATGTCTTTGGGTATGTTTGAGTTTTCATAAAAAAATACTGGTACTCACAGTGTAATTATTATCTGATGCCTGTGACTTGTATTAAAATCAAGCTTGTATAACATGATACTGCTGTAAAATTCTTTTTTATCACTAACTGTTTCTTGTAAATGTTCAGTTGGATCCAGGAGTTTGGTGAAGAAGGTCTTCAGTGTTTAATTAAACACCTACGAGAATCCTGCTCCAGGGGAGGGGACATTTATAAACGAATTCAACACGAATGTGTGAGATGTTTGAAGGCCTTCATGAACAACAAGGTTTGTTTTAAAGGAATATTTAATTTATTATTGTTCAGTGTTAAACTTTCTTGCAAATGATATTTTTGCTTAAGGCTGACATAAAACTGATTGAACAAAAGTAGTCACATACATGTACCTGATTGCCGTGGCAACTTAAGTGTGTCCTCTCTGTAGTGCTAGTTCAAACGCTGCTTACAGTTGTGCCAAACTTAGTTTTTACAATGACTGTCTAATTTCTTGCATGCTGATTGGCCCAGGCGGATAAAATTTTAATTTATGCAAGCTTTCAAGTTCAACTTTCAACTGTCAAACTGTGAACTTTTTAACCAATGAGATTTTATGGACTTTTTTTAAATAGCCAATCAAGAAGCGAGAAAAGCTATTGACAATGGTCGCGTCATTTTGACCAAAATTCACTTATCTTTGTTTACAGCAAGTTTATGGTGTCTCTTCCCCTCATTTATTCTTGGCATTTGACCATTGTGGGGTCTTGTTATTGTAAAAAACAAATTGACGTCAGTTTTTTTATGCGTCTGCCCTCTTATTGATGATGAATTTTGTCATAGCATTGTCAAAGTTTACTGCAGAACCACTCACCTGTGACTTGTGGTTCCCCAGCCACTTTGAAAACGTTCTGACCCAATTTATCATCAATAAGAGGACAGATTCATAAAAAACTGATTTCGATTTGTTAAACTTTTGCATTCAGACCTGATTCTGCCAATCCACTAGATGGCTTAGGTTTTTAGTGGGACCAAAAGTCAAAAATCATTTAATTTAGCAAAATTGATACTAACATAAAGAGTTCTGTAATTATACACGTATTATATTTTCTGCAAACCATGTGTATACATGTGCTAGATAATTATGCCATTGGTAAAATAGTTGATGTTGTCATTATTTCAATCCTTAGTATGGTCTCAATATGATGTTAAAAGGCGAGGATGGATTGACTTTGTTGGCAAGGTCAATGGATCCTAATTATGCAAGTATGATGGCAGATGTCGTCAAGCTCATGGCAGCAGTGTGCCTTGTGAAGTAAGTTGACCTTATTTTTCAAGATTGATAAAAAAATCTCATTTTTCCCTACAATTGCAATACATTCTCAAGGAGACAGGTGATGAGAATGAAGAAGATCATTGATCTAAGCCTGACAATGTCTTGTTGTACAACTCTCGATGTCTACCATGTCCGCTGGTACACAAAGGACCTCCACAGCTGTCTGTCCCAAGCCAGCTTTTAGATGGAGCCCCAGCTGTGGTTCAAGCCTCTCATCTCTGTCTCTATAGTGCATCACCATGTATTTTTGGGGCTGCCCTGCTTGTGACTCCCTTCTGGTGTTCAGTGGAGTGACGTCTTAGAGTCTCTCTCCCTCCTGTTGTCATGACCTTTCCATTGCCATCATCTATACATGATGGTGATACTCATGCACCTGTTTGCACTGTATATTTATAAGCAGATACTTGTTGGAAATGGTGTGAAGCCAGAAAATACAAAGGATTTTTTTGCAGATTTTTGGTGTGGAAGGCCAACAGCTTTTTCAGATCACTTCTGATGCAGGGTTGTGAAAACATTTGAAGTACATGTAGGCGGGTTTTCTGTTGAAATAGCTTGCTGAAATTATGAACTATATGGTGATTTTCACTGGCAGCCAGCTTCTTATAACAGTCCCAAGATGTGAAATGTACTTACTTGTTCTGTAGGTTTTCTGTGAGTGGAGGTTAAATGTTGTACCTAAGAGTCAGAATGAGTAATTTGTATTTAAGCTCTATTATTGATGGCTCTCTCCTCTCTTTAGTCATGATAAGGCTCTTGAAGCAATCACTGTTTGTGGAGAGCTTGAAGAAAGAGGAAGATTCAGTAAGATAGTTGTAGCATTGGATGATGATCACACCAATCTCAAGGTGAAGCTTCAGGCTCTTTAACAATGGTCATATTATTAGTAAATTATTGTACTAAAATGCCTGAGAAGAATTAAGAAGAGTTAAGAAGAATCAAGAAGGTCCCCGTGGGTAAACAACTTTGCCTTATTTAGTTATTAACAAAAGGCTTCCCGTTGTTATAGCATGTAACCTACCAGTCTTGGGAATGATTTGACCTGTTTAATAGAAGGTGAGTGAATGCTGCAGCTCTGTTATTGACCTTCTATAAACATGTGAAAGACTGTAGGTCACTTGCTATATCAACTGCAAGCCTTTTCTACAGTGAATTCACTTTCTAGAAAAAAAAAACAGAGCTGTTGTTAAGGGATTTCTCTGACTTTCAGCAGTCTTTAATGGGTCATTTTCGTCTAAAAGTCTGACGGCAGCTTATGCGGTGGGCCAGTTTTTGTTTCAGTACAATCATGTAGATTGACTGTTTGTGAAATTTTTACCAATCCCCTGGATTAGCAGTAAATAGATAAAATATTGCATGTGTTTGGTTTTATTTCAGGATACTAGACTCTAGATACTAGACTATTGTTCACAGGGTAGATTGCAAATTTGATCTTTGTTTATTGTTTCGGCAGGTGGCCTGTGTTCAACTCATCAATGCACTTGTCAGTACACCAGATGACTTAGATTTTAGATTACATCTGAGAAATGAATTTGTCAGAGAAGGCTTGAATGATCCTTTGCAGGTACATGTGTACATACATGTTCAGTAAATATTTACTTGTAAACATTTTTCAAAATTGAAATATTTGTCTGGGTGTATTAGTTGTAGGTCTCTCATCAAAGATAGGTGTTCATTTATCTCACATGGATGTACATCAAATCTCATTGATTGAAGAAAAAAAAAAATAATACAGTGGAATCCCGATTTCTCAAACCCCCAGTTTTTTTAACCTCCTGATAGCTCGAACCAAAAGTTGTTTCCCTCTTTAGTCAAACAGTGTAAATTTACCCTCGATTTCTGGACTATCTGATTTTTTGAACCAATTTTCATTACCTCGGAGGTTCAAAAAAATCAGGATTCCACTGTAAAACTAACACTACCTGGAACAATATCAAATGATAAACTCATATGAATTCATTACTCCCTAGTCTGTTTGTCTGTCTGTCTGTTTAGCTATAAAAAGTACCAACAATTTAATCAAACAATAAAGGAATAACAAGAGTAAAAACTAATTAGTGGTTTATTTGTATCTTTTAGGATCTCAGAGATTTGGAAAATGATGATCTAAATGTCCAGTTAGACATCTTTGAAGAACATCGAGATGACGATACCACTGAGTTCCAGCAGAGATTTACTGATATAAAAATTAATTTTGAGTATCCTTGACAATGCGATATTTAAGAAACTTCATAATGCATTTGCTTGGTAGAATTGCATGTATTTACAATGATAACTTTTTCACTAAGAATTACCTGGAACACTTTTTTACCCTCATTTTTACCCAAAATATGTAATCGGAGTGTCTATTTTGGGTCTGGTAGGAACAACCGGTTTTTTTCTGTTATAATCTTCAATTCAGTAGGATTTGAAACTCATGACTATTGAAATATCAGTATCTGCCATCCGTCTATGAGACCAAAAGTTTGCTTTTTGGTCCAGAAAATAATGAAAAGCAGCAACAGGAGTCCTTAAACTATGTTATTTCTTCCTTGACGACCTATCAGGGACCGAAATGAGATCTACCAGATTATAACAAACCTGATTCAGGACACCCCATCAGAACCCATGTTCCTCTCCATTCTACAGCATCTGTTACTCATCAGGGACGATGTTCATGCCAGGTAGCGTGAAAACTTAGTAGTGATTGTAGCATTACATTATTTTGTATGGAAATGGAAAGCTAGTACTTAGCCTGTCAATGTAGCTGTCTGCATCATTCCTGGCTGGTTTGGTGTTTTTGTGAGAGAGACATGCAGTAAGAGGTAGCTGTATTCACAGGCTAGGTGGTACTCAAGTTAAAGGAAGGTGGTGAGGATTTTTTTTTAGGGTGGAGGAAAGACTGATAAACTAATAATTGAAAATATTGGTGATTAGAACTTTTTTTGAAAGGTTGGGGGGTATGTTTATTTTAGTGGTTTCAATCTTTCGTTGGTGTCATTCACTCCCCAGTGTCAGTTTGGTTTTGAGAATCTGCCTGCAAATTACTGCACGTGACAATGCTTAGGGCCTAGGGAAAGACCAAGCCCCAGTTTTATGAAGGCTGGATAATGATATCAGTTGGATAAATTGCTATCCAGTGGACAAGTTAACTAAACAAACCACGCTATCAGCTGGATAGTGATTTATTTGGCAGAAAGCATTATCCACCTTTCGAACAACCTGGCCCATGGATTTGGTGTCACATTTGGAAGGCTGCAAGTTACCCCTGCCAATATCCATAAAATCCTAGATTATCCAGAAGAGTCAGCATACCTACTGTAATTACCTTTCAAGTCGAGACCAGATTTCTTCTTGTTTAGGTTCTGTTTTGCCACTGTTACTTTTTTCCACAGACCTCAGTATTACAAGTTAATTGAAGAGTGCATATCACAGATTGTCCTTCACCGAGGTGGAGTAGATCCTGACTTTGCTTCAAAAAGAATGGAAATCGACGTAGAACCCCTCATTGGTGAGTTACGTGTTATTAACAGACTTACTGTTTATGTAGGCTTTGAGCTTTTATCATATCAGTGATCCTATGGTAGTTTTGCACTGAACAAGATACTTTTCTGCTGTTAAATTAAAGGACAGGTGATATGTTGATATGTTCTGACCTGGTAAAAGTACTTTGTAAAGTCTGTTATTTAAAATTTTACTGGGTTTCACTTCTTTTTGTAGAAACACTGGTTGAGAAAGCCCAGTACGAGGAAGCGGCAGAAAAATCCATGCAGCTTGAAACCAAGGTATGTAGAGGCTACTGTCACTGTTTTACCCTTATGATAATAATTTATAATAATACCAACAGGGATCATCATCTGTTTGGCGACAGTAACACATGGCACATGCATACTGTGAAGTGGACAGGTAAAAAGAATAACCCTAGAGGATATTGCGTTGATTTACATAATGTACTGTTCGTAACAACAAATTTTCAGAACTGAATGCTAAAAGAAATATTAAAGGCCAAGCTGGATTTTGTGGAGATGAATGTTCAATACCTTTGTTCAAGTCACTTTTTAAGAACTGTCCCTTACCTTCCTATTGTAAATTCCTTGTTTTCTTTATTTTTTAGTTGGAACTTGAAACAACAATGCGACAGGAATGTGAAGCTAAACTCACCTTGACTTCAACAAATTATGAAACCAAGATAGCAAGCCTGGAAAAAGAGCTGGCAGAAGCACAAGAACAGGTAAGGGATATTCAGTATGTGTGACCTAGAAATGACACATTGTATTAATCCCAACGCTCAGCAGATTGTAGAGTTCAATGTTTCCATAACTCTCTGGCCCAAGTTTGGTGCAGTGAAACTGGAGGAAGCAAATGCTTGGAGATGAAACATTCAGTGGCTGTTAAGAAGGTTGAAAGCCTGAGAAGCCTCTTACAATTCACTTGTTTCGTATAATTAGTTTTCCAATTTTATCAAGTGGCTTTTTTGAAGATTTATCAATTGATTCTTTTGGTTATGTCCCTTAAGAAGTGCTTAACGTTTTTCTGCAGAGTGACATGATGCATAAATGTATGACAGTCCTGATACACTGATATACTCCCTATGAGCAGGATTATCAAACTAATGTTCCATGCCTACAGTTCACAGCGACACTTGAAACATGAACACTTGACATGAAGGCTTTTCATGTACATGTAAACAAGAGTATTTAGCATATTTTCATTGTAAGAATGCTACTCTTGTACATTATATGAAGAGCCTTCATTATACAGTCACCTAAACAATGTAAAAAAAAGTATCAAGTGTTTGTAGTTTAAGTGCCCTTACTCTAAGTTCTACCATTTTTTGCCACATCTCGTTTTCAACAAAGGATGTAACTATACTTGTACATGCAAGAAATGAATCTGCAAGCTGTAAGGGTTTCTTTCTTGGCTTTGGATGCTCTCTTTCAGTGCAACACAGTCTCTTCCCCTGTCAAAGTTTTAAGACTGTCCAGGCTTTTATAACTGAATACAAATGGTTTGGTTTTCTTTTAGGCCAAAAGAGGAGGTGGCGGAGGAGGAGGTAAGGATGTTCTTTATGCCATTTGCTTGTGCTTTAGAACTGGACAAATCACAAAAAGTGTTCTTTTTACTAAAAGTGAATCTTCCTCAGCTTTACAGTCCTTTCATCCTGTAATGAAACCATCATTAAGACATGAGTGTTTTGCTAGACAATCCACCTCTCATAAAAATATGTCACTAGTGAGGATATTGATGATGTTATTTCGTATTTTGTGTGGTTGCTACTTTCAACATTTGCCTATTAGTGTTTTTATCTGTATTTTAGTTGAAAATTACACAGTAGCTTGAAGATATGAATTTTATTTTCTGATGTCAAAAATGATATTTCATTTATTTGCTGTGCTTTCTTTGTCTAGTATTGCCTTTAACACTGACACCACCACCAACAACACTTCTTTTCAGAACTACCCTCACCCGGACGATCACACTATACAAACTACTGAAAAATAATATTCATAATTATTTTGGCCATATAATATGCTATGCACTTGATAAAAGTACAAGCTAATCAGAGATTCTAATGAGTTTACAACCAGCCGTTTCTGTCATAAAATTAAAGTCTCCATTCTTAATTTAATCCATATAGTGTAATCATAAATTACCACCAAACTATTATTCGGATAATTTCCCAGCATTTAATTGTAAAGCTTCTTATGCTTTCCCAATTCTCATTTAAAGTGATGAGCATTATAGGGACAACTTTAAACTTTTGAAACTCCTCAACCTCTTCAAATAATGTAAATCCACAAGAAAAAAATCCAGCAAATTTAAATACTTTAAGGTAAAAACTAATGAAGTTATGCTAAACAGTAATTGTCATAACTGTTGAATTAAAATCTAATAATAGTTGTAAATTTGTTACCAGTGATAATAAATGGCGACTTAACTACATGCATTTACTTGAATGTATATTTTTGACGTAACTTTTTTTTTTTGTTAAATTAGTTAAATTATTGTGAAATACACCTGTACCATAACCAGTGCTGACTTAAGCAAAGTTTTTAAAGCAGCTGGGCACTTCATTTTTTTTTCACAAACCTAAATGTTTGATGGCAGTAAAATAATCATTTAATTTGAATTGTAACTGGTGCTAACATCTCTTCCTATCAGTCAGCCAATCACAGCCCAGAACTGAAGGTGTTGCTCCTCCATGTTCTCGAGTTTGCTTTATTCCTTCTCCATCTTCTGCACCTCCTCCTCCACCACCTGCTCCTCCTCCTCCTCCTCCTTCAACTGCTTTTGTTCCAGCAAGTGAGTAAAATGTAAAAGATGCTTACGTACCAAACTAACCCAAGTAAACAAATTCCTTTGCATACTTAATTCTTTCCCTGCTTGAGAGAGTCAACCTCACAAATTCTTTGCTGGTAAGTAGATAGCTTAACAGCAGATCTGTGTGGAATCTTAGAGCGTCTGTAACTTGGATGCAAAATTCAAAAGGAAGCAATGAACCAATGCAATACAAGACACTGCACAAATCTCAGTTGGGTTGAGTCATCAGTTCAGTGGAGTTCAGGGAATGAATTAAGCGCACAAAGTTTACTCAAACTAATTCTAAACATACGTAATTTCACATCTATAAAAAGGAAATAAAAGCCAAAATAGAATAAATTACCCTTCTAAATATGAAGTTGTCATTAGACATTGAGCTAACAGAGGTTTACTCCATTAGGGATGAATAAAAGATTAATACTAAAATTAAAGTGTGTGGCCATGCATGCATATTGAAAAGCAGACCGTACTGAATTATAATTTGCTGTATAACATGCAAACGTTTTAGCTAAGTAGTCTTCTGCTAACCTTTTTGCAATGCAGACTGAAAAGTTTAAAAGTCTTTCAACATCAGGAAGGTGTTTGACATCGTATACAGAGTCACCATTTTGTTCTACCATTTTATTTTTGAAAAGTATGTTTTGGGACATTTGCCACAACAGTTATTTGGATGAGAGCTAGAAATTCAAATTCATTATGTTTTTGTTTTTCAGGTGGTCCGCCCCCTCCCCCACCCCCACCAGGTCCTCCACCGCCACCGCCACCTCCACCGCCACCGCCACCTCCACCACCTCCACCACCACCACCGCCACCACCACCACCACCACCACCACCCCCACCACCACCCTACCAGGACCTCTAAACCACTACGCTTTAGGTATCCATATATTCCTGGGTAGACTGAGGAGGCACTGTGAGGAAAAAACAAGTATCTAGTCTGGGACATANGGCCCACCACCACCGCCTCCACCACCATTCCCGGGTGGTGGCCCACCTCCTCCCCCGCCCCCTCCTGGTGGAGGCCCACCACCACCTCCCCCACCACCATTCCCGGGTGGTGGCCCACCTCCTCCCCCGCCCCCTCCTGGTGGTGGTCCTCCTCCTCCACCCCCTCCTCCAGGTGGGGCACCCCCTCCACCAGCATTCCCTGGCATGGGACCCCGCCCTCCATTTGGGTCGCCTGTGCCCGTTCTACCTCCTGGTGTTGCACCAAAGAAGAAGTACAAACAAGAAGTGCAGTTGAAACGAGCTAACTGGAACAAGGTGTGTGCCGGCCCATTGACATCTAATTTCTCCTTACATAATCGGTACACTGACAAACAATATGTGACGAGAAGAAAGAAGACAATCAACTAGGCGATATTGTCTTGATCTGGCATCTAATTCACACAACGCCGGAGAAATTTAAAAACGCACCTTTTTTTTTCTACGCTTAGGCCTACCGTCCACACTAATCCGTGACGAAAACGGAGCTTTTCGAAAACGCTCTTCAACTGGAGAAATTTGAAAATGCCGGCTTTGCCTTTGAATACAGAGGGAAGACATTTTTAAAACGGAGCTTTTCGAAAACAATGACGTCACGATAATCACGTGATGTCCCTGCCCGAGTTCTCCTCAAACACAGATCCAAAATGACCGGTGATGTTGCGTTTTCAAATTTCTCCGGCGTAGTATGGACGGAGAACATTTGATGCATTTTCAGAGTGAAACCTCCGTTTTCAAATTCCTCCGGCGTAGTTTGGACGAGGCCCTAGTACACAGTGAAAGGAATTTTCAATAATCAGTTGAAACAATGATTGGAGCTAGCATCAAAGGGTAATCTACGCGTAATTTTTGATGGGCTAGCATCTAATTCAGGGGATGGGTAATGCTCTTAGTTACTTCAGTACTAGTTGTTGAAATGTCATGCCGGTCAGTGTAGTCTGGTGCTTATGTCAGCTGTTTGATATTGTCTGCTTCACAGATCAACATGAAGAACTTCACTGAAAATACTTTCTGGGCAAAAACGAAGGAGGACAAGTTGGAAAAACCTGGTTTGTTTGACGAACTGACGAAAACGTTCGCTGCCAAAAGTGCTCCGAAGAAGAAAGAAGATGGAGAAGGGCTGGAGAAGAAAGCAGCTGCCAAGAAAAAGGGCAAAGATTTGAAGGTCATTGACCCAAAGAGCGCTCAAAACTTATGTAAGTACCACAAATGTTTTGGAAACATGTTATGAGGTTTCGGCGTTAGTTCAGTCTCCCTTACCGTGACTGGCAGTTCGGAATCAGTCTTGTTCTGAAGGGTTGCGGTCCAGGGCTAGGGTTAAGTTGGAAAGCTTGATCGAGAAAGAGTGCCAAAAAGTAGTAGCATTCATTTCCATGGTAACTTCAAGGAATTTTTTGAGCTACGCCGCGGGTAGCACCTCGAGTGCAGTTTAATCTTGAACTGAATCCAAACATTGAAAGAGCTTGTGAAATTTAGTAATGAGTGCGATTTTTGGGGTGTAATATTCAAGGATAAATTGGATTTCTAAAAAAATATAAAATTTCTGGGTGCCAAAAGCGCTAATGAGTTCATACATTCTTTGTGAAATTTTGAGTCTTTAAACCCGCGTCGCAATAAAGCATTCTATACTTCGATTCAAATTCCTTGAGAATTCAGGACTGATATTTTTTTCAAGCTTGATCAGAAACTATATCGCTTATGCTAATGAGGCAAATATTGTAAATAAATGTTCCCTTATTAAGACTAGTGCTTTACCATCGCTAGCCCGGCTACGGTTATGGTCAAATGTGATTTTTTTTTTATACAGCAAATACTTGCTTGCTGATAATTTTGTTTTTATTTTCACACAGCAATTTTCCTCGGCTCGCTTAAATTACCACACACGGAGGTTAAGAAGTTAATCTTAAAATGTGATCAGGTGGTTTTGACAGAAAGCGCCATCAACTCCTTGCTGAAGTATCTTCCATCACCAGAACAGGTCAGATATAAACAAATAAACAAACAAACAAACAAAATTAGATGTAGAACACGTTAACTGTTTTGAATCAACGAAGCTATTTCAATCTCTGGCCAGAATATTAATTTTCCTTCCTAATTTCCATGTTTTTTCAATCTAAGTTGTGAAAATTTTTTTCATTACAATCTCAACATTTTGATCACTTGATCTCTTTTTTCCTGTCTTTCTCAGATGCAACAACTTGGCAATATGAAGGATAACTTGGATGATCTGAGTGATCCTGAACAGTTTGCCTGCATGGTAAGTTGGTGTTTACACATCAAACACGAAAGATTGTGTTTGACCACATTCGAAACACTGAAAACAGAGTTGTTTGGCCATGTGGTCAAACACTGTCTTGAGTGCTTGATATATCTTATCAATCGAAAAACTAAGGAGAAAACGAAGAAATGAAAGAGTAAAAACCCATGCTAAGATCAGATATCCAAACACCGTCACAGTGATGATTTCCCATGTTGAAAGTGGATGAATTGTTGACGAGTTTGAAAAGTTTTCTTCAAACGACCAGTTCAATTTGTCCTCAAAATTCAAAGGGTTCTCAGCTCGAAAAGTCAGTTCAACACCAGTAGATTACATTGGGAATGATTGAAGTTGTGGTTTTGTATAATTTTTACGTGTACAGCGGCGTTAAGACTCTATAAGTTCTTTCCAAGGATTCTTCCCTGGCCTGTTGGTTTCTCCGTTGGGCCTCTCGCGGCTTACCTCGCTCGCGCTCGCCCTCGCGACTTCGTCGCTTGAATTCGCTCGAGGGAGATAAATAAGGCAAGGATTAAGAAAAGGTCAACTTGTTGCAAGTCTAAGCTGCGTTCAACTCGCGAAAGAACGTTCTCTTATTAAGCTTCATGTTTCATATATATAATTGATTGGAGGTCTTTCACGTTTAATTTTATTTCTTCAACTGTTTTGTTTTCAGCTTAGCGGCATTAAAAAGTTGGAACAAAGATTAAACATGATTCTATTCAAGATGAAGTTTCCTGAAGACATGCAGGACATAAAACCAGTAAGTTCTTATTGCGCATTTTTATTTCCATCCACGGTCTTCCCAGGCAAGTTAAAGCTTTCTCAGGCTACCGAACATTTGGACTCCCCACTTAAGAGAATTATCATTTTTTTCTTTGTGCGGAGATCAACTTGAAAATTCTCCTGATGTTTCTATACATTTTGGATAGTTCAACTGGTGAGAATTCGTTTTCTTTACGACCTCGGCAACTTGAATTTGTGCGGATTAAATTGAACATACATGTAGGCTGGAGAGACCACTACTGAAGCGAAGAGAGATGCTGAGCTATGGCCCCGTTCACACAAGCTGGAGAAATTTGAAAACGTAGCTTAACCACTGCAGTTGAGCCAGCCGTCCACACTAATTCGTCACGAAAACGGAGCTTTTCGAAAACGCTCTTCAAACCGGCGGAGTTTGAACACGTTGGCTGTGCGGTTTTAGTGTGGACCTGCTTTAGTCACTCTTAATCATGCCGGTCTACAATCATTGATAACGAATTTCTATCTTTTTGCAGAACGTTGTAAATGCGACAGCGGCTTGCAGGGAAGTAAAGACCAGCCCGAAATTCTCCAAGTTTCTCGAACTTGTGCTCCTTATGGGTAATTACATGAACTCTGGCTCACGAAACGAGGGCTCAATGGGATTTGAGATGAACTATCTCACTAAAGTAAGAATTTCACGAACGTCTAGTTGCGCCATAAATTTAACAAACCGCTAGAAAACGTGCTTTGCATTTACCGTCAAAGCAACGTTTAGGGTGGGTTTTTAGCCAAGGTGACAAAGTAACATGGCAGAGCAAGACTCGAAGCTTGCTTAGTCTTTCAATGGCTAAACGCATCGTACCAACTGCCAAACTACGCATAGTTTTTGATTGATTTTTCCCCGTCGTTCGCACTAAGGCAATTAAAAATGCCAATCAGAAAATTGAAGTAATGGTATTTTACACAAGTGTAATGGGAGACCTCTATTGTACTTTACAGTATTCTAATTTTCTTGTAATTTCTGCTACTGGGAGGCCCTGTAGTCTCCCTCGCAGCCGTTTTTTAGTGTCGTCACGTAACGCTCCTCCCGCGGTCTTGATCTTCTTAACGTTTTTAAACCTACTCGAGCTCTATTTACGTTGCAGCTGAGTTCAACCAAGTCCATGGACGGCCAGTTAACATTGGTTCATTTTCTTGAAGACATCATAGAAACTAAATATCCCGAGATTTCAGGATTTGAAAACGAGTTGACTCACGTGGAGCAAGCTGCAAGAGGTAACGAGAAGTACATTCAACTGTCACGCAGTCTCTTTTGAGTTGTGTCACGTTAGTTAAAGTAATATTCGAGTTCCTTTTTCCCGTTATTTTCTTGGGTACCCAGCTGTAATGGTACCTACGCATTTACTGCAGGGGGTTATCCTGCGATGGACTAGCGTCCCATCCAGAGGGGGAGGGTGAACCAGAAATACTCCTTGCCGCTTTATGTTACGGAAATCGGAGATAAGCTTGGGTGGTATGGGAAGGTTTGGTCCGATGCAGGCTATATTTAACACTGAACTTTACTTAACTAATTCAATGAGTGTATATTTGCCCTCACATTCTGTTTTTGTTTTTGCCATCTCTAGTGTCAGATGAAATTCTGCAAAAGTCGATTAACACAATGCAGGGAAACCTGAAGAAACTTGAAAAAGAACTGGAAATATACAAACCGCTTAACGATCCTGACGATCAGTTTCTACCTGTTATGAAGATATCCTTTTAAAATACCCCTCCAACTTTAAATACTGTCTCAAAGTAGTCTTCCCCCATAGCGTTACTTTGGTTGTCACGCAACACTTCTCAGAGAACAGGGGCATTTCGTGACCGTAGTTTGACCCGGGAAATTCGTCCTGATAAGAACTTTTGAACGGGGGATAAATGGAACTGCGAAGAGAGTGGGCTCTTTCCAAAAGTTTTAAAGCCGTGGACTAGAAATACCTAGTTAAGAGAAGGGACGTAAGTTATTTCCTTGACAGCGCTCACAGTTTCTACAGCAGCGCCAAAGACCAAGTCGATGTTCTGGTCGAGATGCATAAAAACATGACCACCATGTACAAGGAACTGGTTGAGTATTTCTGCTTGGACGTCAAGAAGACCACCATGGAAGAGTTCTTTGGTGACATCAAAACTTTCCTGGACTTCTTTGAGGTGAGGGTAGATGATACATTGATAGTGATTTGCTGCATAGTGTTTAAGTGACAGCGTAAACAGCTCTTGCTGGTTGGCTTTCAGGGAGGAAAGGTTTCCAACGTCAAAGAAAAAGGCGCGAATTTTGAATTTACGTCTTCGGAATCATTGTTTCTGATTGGCTTATTAGGGTATAGCAGTCGACGATTTGATTTGCAGCTAGTTGAATATGCGCAGACTAATGTATGGGAAAAAGTAAATTTGCACCTATCACGTGTTTTCACAGTAAGATTCTTTAACTGATATTTGCAATTTTTAGTAATTTCAATTTACGTTGCACGGTTGGAATGGCATGTCATTGGAAATTGGAATATTACGCATGTCAGCATTAATTGAGATAGAGTATACTTATTGTGAAGTCTCTTTGCGTGTTTTGAGATTAACCGTTTCAGGTTGACTGTTTGTGCGTTGTTTTGCTGACTAACTCGACTGATAGGGTCGATTTGGTTGAAGTTTCCCAATAGAGGGCTTGCTTTCTCAACCATTTTCGTTTAAAATATTTGTAAGCATTCCGTTGTAACCGAAATATAACCAAGTAGAACTTTATCCTTGAAACTGATTCTGTCCTTCTTTGTTGTCTTTGTAGAAAGCCAAAAAGGACAACGCCAAGCGGAAAGAAAAAGAAGAAAAAGATAGAAAAGCCAAGGAGCGAGCGGTAAGAGTTAATCCAGGATTAGCGAGAACTTTGATTTCAGTTTTGTAACTTTTCGGTGGGGTTTTCT